TTTTTTTTTTGTTTATTAGTTCAGTGATGTAATAGAACCTTGTAAAAATGTCATGGCTTAATAGAAAGTTTCTGTTAAATTGAAGATTAGATTCTTCAAATTTATGCTAAAAGAATCGAAATACAAAAAGTACAAAAGTTATTATGTGTGTAATAGATTAGTAAGGAAGGCTTAAGAAAGAGTTTTTTGCTCGTACTCGCTTTGGGATGATTTTTCATTAATCAAGGAAAATAGAAAAAAGTCAGGCGGGTTAAAGGATAAGTCGAGCTCCAACGCCTGATGAGTCCACATAATAGAAATAATCTGTTCAGCCTTTTTTACCAGAACGCCTGCTTTAGTGTAATATATTGTTTATATAACTCATACAACGCCTGCTTTAGTGTATATTGCTCATGCTTGTTTAATTGGCAGAGGAAGCGGAAGAGATTGGTTAGGCGCATTCAGAATGAGCATCACGAGCTAAAACCACGTAAGCACATGCCTATATTAATAAATATTATGCCATTGTACTTGCATTCTAACTACATACTTCTCCCTCTTGCATGTGGGCAGTATCCCTTTTTCTTGAAGAAGTAGATGAAGACATACTGTTGGAGATATTTGTCCGCCTCCCGAACTATCGGTCTGCCATTCTCTTTGGCGCTGTCTGTCACAAGTGGCAGTCTTTAATTTCGAGGCCACATTCTATCAGTAGATTCATATCACATCATAATGAACACAAGGACCGCTATCCACAACCATGCACAATCATATTTTGTAGAGCCTATTATGTGGGTTTTTTTAACAAGCACTTAACTCCCCCACATTTTCAACCAATTTGCAAGCTTTCTTCAGAGGAGTCAATGTTTCTTCGTAAAACATTGAATACTGCTACTAATTATTTGGACTTCTTGCCTTCGCCAATGGTCATAAGAGCATCCTGCAATGATTTATTGCTTGTCTCCCCTCATGTCAGTTGTTGGAAACATCTCTACTACATATGCAATCCAATAACAAGACAATTTCAGCAGCTCCCAAAGATAGCTCCAACTGTTCAGAAATTTTATACTGTTGGACAGGCATTAATATGCATGCCTGACAACGAATTTAAGATCGTTGTTCTTGATAGGTCTTATATGCTGCCTCCAACTGGGGAAGAAGATACATTATCTTCCTTCCGTGTTTGTAGCGAAGTGAGGATATTTTCTTCCAAGACAGGAACGTGGGAAAGTAAATGCTTGGAGTATCCGATGACCCGTCACCGATGGCGGGTTTATTGGGTGGAAATGATTACGTGCCCAATATCCGGGGTCGTGTATTGGTTGGAGCAAGACTATAATCTCGATAGGGTTCTTTCATTAGACTTGCGAAATGAAAG